ACACTGCATTTCACACGTTAAAACTGTCTTTTGAACAGTTATCCAGTGATTTTTTTATGAATTGACAAATTATGTATCTTGACGAAGTTATCTCTAACGGATTATTTTATATGGATAGCTGTCATAACGACTTTTTAATAATTATTGTAGCACTGCAAAAACTATTTCTGTTCGCCACGAGGGTGATGATGGATTTTTAATATTTGATTTTATAGTAGATTAATTAAAAAAAAAGTAGTCTACAAAGGTTTGAGCCTCGCGCGCGTATTACGGATATAGAGGACTGAATTTAACATTCGATAAAAAAAAATGCAATTTTGAAGCTTATTTGAAAGATACCTTGAGTTAGTAGTAAGTTTTCTGGCAAATGTTAGGGGTTCGTGAGCATTCCTGACATTGCTGAAAATTATGATAGCATCAGATTGCGGGGTTACTAGTGTAATAGGATGCTTTGTTGATTGTTCATTAACTCTTGATTGCTTGTAATACTTATGAATATTTTAGGTGGACAAAAAGGCGAACTAAGAGGTGGACGCCTGAGCTTTTCCACATTTATATCGCTGTGAAGCAACTGTAAACTTTAGAGGGAATCTATATCTGTAACTGAAACCAGTTCGATTTGTTTGCCAACCTGGTTAAAATGTCATATTCAATTATCTTAAAGATAAATCGTCCAGCTCAAACCTTTGTAGGGGTAAGAGGTGGGACCATCATCATCATCATCATCAAAAGCAGATACAATATTACATCAATAGATGTAATTTTGTTCGCAAAATCGATGTACATCGTACAACGTAATATTACACAACCGGCGGAATGACCTCTGTGCAGCTGTTTGGATGTAATATTCAACAACTTTTTTTTCTGTGTACGTATAAACCTTTGAAAATGCGTGAAATTCATTACAATTCAATGCACTCTTCTATTTTACGACAGTGTATGTAAATATGTGTTGTAACACTCGTGTTAATTTGTCTTGTATAGGTATAACTATCTAATAGATAATCTAGATGGAGCTTACAAAAGCTGTTAGGCCCTTGTTCTATCTCTATCTAGAATTTTTCGTATGAAAGGGGAACGTGGTTAGCAATTTTTGAAAATGGGAAATAAAACAGAAAAGGCTGAAACCCACTGATTTACCGAAAACGACAAACAGTCTTCACTAAACATAATGTTCAAATTTATCGGTTGTTTCATTTTTAAAGATTGGAATCTCCATGTATTCTCTAGTAGCAAGAATACAGAAATCCCAGGTGAACAAAATGTGCATTTCTCTAGCCTGACTTATTTCTTCTAATCGCCACCGATTATCGGACGATTAAACGCGCAAGTTGGCTTTTTGTAATTTTGAGATTATTAATCGCAGTTTGTTGCCAATGGATCAATGGTTGGACGTAAGATGTTTCTTTCTCACCTATGCTTGGTAGTTATAGATTAGAGAGAAGCTTTCGTCTTACAGGCATTGATCCATTAGCATATCATTTGGCGTAGCATTAAAACTATGTTCTTGTTGATATGGGCTAACGCCATACTTACTTGATGGCCTGATCCCGCTGGGCCTTGCGAACCTCCGGCTTCATGTTACGCTTAGCCATGATATCGGTGATGGAAGCACCGATGATGGCGCGCTGGAACTTCTGAGTACGGCGGCTACGCTTCTTGGTGGCTTCCTCAATCATGCCCTTCTTGTGCTTCCTGCGGTACAGCACGGTCCATTTCACCTTGCGCGGGTTGCGCTTCATCAGGAAGGAACGCTCGCATTTTTTGTTGATGAAGGTGAAGGTCTAAAACGAATGTGGATTTTAGAGCAGCTGTCATGAACCATTAAGGTTAGGCATATTAAATATCAACAAACTACAATAGAAGCATCTTCGTTAAAAATCTACTATCTGTGTAACTTTTCCATCAACGGATATTTGCATTTATTTAATAGAGAGAAATTTGTTGTAAGGAATCCACAAAATCTGAAACAATTCACTGATGTTGTGACATTTACCTTGCCATCGGCTTTGACCAATGTTTTACCACTGGCGGGGTAGATTTTGAAACCGCTGAACGCGCAAAGTCCGATCCTGGAATAAAATTAATGACTCTGCTTAGTTTCACTTAATAACTTTTATTTGCACACAAATCCGGTCTCGAAATATCGGAAAACTCACTTCATTTTGGCGAATTTCTACTGCCTCTTCGACTCAGTAAACTTGAAGCCCGAAACGTGGGACAGAAAAGAACTTGACGGTTCAATGACGTCACGTCCAGAAATCGGCGTTGCCAACCGAACAGAACCAACTGTCAGTGTCAGTTGGCATGGAAACAATGCCCTTGATTGTAGTTTCTCGATTGCGTGTTGTCCGATGCGGTCTGTTATGATATATGCGTGCGGAAATCTAAACGGCCACCCGCATAAACGCGAACCATAACTTGATCTTGATCAATAAAAAGTAGAAGGGTCTGTGCCTAGGGGCACGAACGGGAGCTTGACGTAGGACCGCTAGTGGACGGAATAAATGTGAAGAGCATTTAGTTCTTTTAATTGATCAATTATCTATTATCTCAACTCTTTCCGTTTTTGAATTGTAGGCGTATCAAATTTGTAGTATTTTTTTTTTCAAAGAGAAAGTTGATTAAGAGAATCAATCAAAATCACTTGCACCCCTGCTTCCAAGTTTGGTTACAAGATTACAACTCTGGAGAGCATTTTGTGTGGTCGTGTTGGGGGCTTGTGGTTCTGAATATGGACAAACAAGCACAGATAAATTCTATTCCAACTCTTTACTGATGTAAGCTTGATGGCCCTGTAGTCTGATAGTACACACAAAGAAAAATCGTTTCTAAAATTAAAAAAACCATTGGTAGAATTGAAAGTTTGCATTGGTTCTTTTTGGTAGAAAGCGGTTAGCTTTCAAAGCGATAGTCAGCAAACTGTCAAATTAAAAGTTAAAACTTTCAAAAAGAATTGTACTTCTGTCAAATTAAAAGCGTGACTGTGTTAAAATTAAAGGCGGAATATTGTTCATGTAAAACATATTTTTGACTTGAAAATATGGTATAGTTGAAATGACATATGTGTAATTTTGAATTTAAAATAATAATATTTTCAAAAACAAAATAAGCAATTTTCAAAATAATAAAATTTATTTACTTTTCATAAATATTACATAGTGTTTTTATAAGAAATAAATCGAGAAAACAATACAAAAAGATCCAAGAATATGTGTTATCGATGGCGATGCTTTCGTTTACGTCTTGGCCTCGGTCTTGAAGCTGTCTTCACTTTGAGAGGAACCACAATGTTCAAGTGCGATAGCGATAGGCTCGGTGATAGGTGTATGGATAGGTACAGAAGAAGATGATCCAACAAATAACATCGTGATCGGTTCCTGGTCCATTTTCGTCTGACGTCAGATATTGAATCGGACCGTCCTTGGCGAGGAAAGTTTATAAAAATAATTAACACACTTTGCATCTACTGTAAACAGTCGTTGATTACTCACTTGCATTCTGAGCCGTTTCATGCTACTTGCAGGGGTTGATGATTTCCAGCGTTCGCTTTTCATCTTCAGTGGGTTGAGTTGAATAATTTCGTTTAACCGAGGATCACGTTGCTTTCCTTGAGGAAATCGATGAGTTGTACTGATGGCATCGCTCTTACCTTGGGTTCTGCAAAAATATCCAGAACATTATTCAATTGTGTTCTCAAAATTGTACTTACAAACAAAAACTCACATCGATTGGAACAGCGCAACAATGTGTTTCCCGGGGAGATCTTTTGATTTGATAGTTTTTTTTTCCGTTTTACCTGAAATTAAATTATTAAACTCAAATTTTTATATGTATTGTCATTTCATCTTACCTGTAGCGAATGTTTTCCGCGGAAGCTGCTATAATTACTTGTAATTGATGAATTGATTAAAGTTCCGTCCCAGTTTATTCTACCTCTTGGTCTGAGTGACATCGGTTCAAATTCAGCGGCAAAAGAAGGCACAGTGTTGCCAAAAACTTTGTTAAGAATTGGTATTTTTGGCAGTTTAACAACTTTTATTTCAAAAATATGAACTTTTAAAATTACAAGTCGAAAGTGAAAGAAAAACTTTTAAACAAACAAAATTACATTCATTTCGAATATTTTCGAAGTTAAAACAACGAAATTCAGGAAACTTTTAATTTGAAATTGCAATATTTTTATAAGAACCATTTTTATTTTTTGTGTGTACGTTCAGACTATAGAGTTATAACATGTTATAGCGCTATCTTGATGGTGGTTTCTATGTTGCAATTATTTGACAACCGTTATAACATGTTATAACTCTCGAGTCTGGACAGCTTTTAAACGTACTATTATATCATAACTTCATATCAACTTGAATTACGATAATCGATATATGCTGCACAGACAAACAGACATAACACTCGTAAGTTGTTCATCGAACAAGCATTTAACGGTTAATTTAAAAGTATCGTAGTTGGTAGTACCGCCACCTGTGGCGCGCATAGTCATTTTCCTTGCGTTTGACGTTTACACACTACCGCCATCTGTTCAGCGTACTACCCACCACAGTGTACTCAACAGATGGCGCTAATGTTTCAGCGACGATGTTTTACAGTGAGAAATATTCAATGTGTTATGTCTGTTTGTCTGTGTATGCTGTGTGTGTATGTAGTTTGTCTTATGGAATGTATATAAAGGCTGCTGTTTGGGCAAACAATGTTTCAAAAAACACATGAATAAAATATTTAATTATTGTCGTTTCGTGCAGGATGCTTGTTTCATTGATATTTACAATACCTCCCTGATGTGTAATGCCAAGCCAACTTTCACTACAAATGTACTACTTTACCGGAAATTAGTTCCGTCAAATTCATAAATGAGTCGATAAAGAAGTTTCCCTGACGTGTTTCTCTTTCTAATGAAGCTTTGTTTGCTCTCCATCGCACTCTGGCATAATACCAAAAGTGCACTTTGTTGTTAATCTTTCTCGTTCGCACCGCAAGTACCACGCAAGAGAGTGCATCTGCTGTTGCGTGGGTGGTGCAGTGTGCCGTACTAGCAGAACGTAGAAAGGATCTACATTCGTAATACTTCAAACCGCGGTTCATCGCTGAAAAAAAAAATGTTCAAACTATCTCTGAAACGGTTTGCTTCCTTATTATTTTTCCAACTGGTCTTCTTGAGCGTCGATTTAGGAATCAACAGCTTCTCGTATCTGGTCCGTGGCGACAAAGTGTCCATCATCTTTCTGTTTTTGTAGGCGGATTATCGATTTTTCAAGGATCAACTTTTTTCGGCTTACGGTTTCTTTTGCTATATGTTTCCATTTCAGAGCCCAGGATGTATGCTTGATTCTCTCGCTTACGGCGATTATCTTCAGTCTGTACTCAACTTATGTTTATCAGGTTAGTTGATATTCGTCCAAGGATGGATTTGTTCAACGTTACGTTCTGCATCGTTTCAGGCTGGTATGGCCCATTTGCTGTATGAGAAGTTCCGGGTCCCACTGTTGGCAGCAATGACGTATTTCCTGCTCTGCATCAGCCTACACATCTGGCAAGTGATTGATCACCACAAGTCTCCGTATCTCTTCCAATGGCCCAAGGCACTAACGGCTCTCTTCATCATACAGAGACTATGTAAGCCAACAGTAAGTAACCTTAGAGCAAGAATTTTAATATTTGGTCAATTTTAGTTTCTCCTCTCTACTACTATCTGTACAAGAGATCCGCTTTGAAGATGAGCGATCCACGGTTCTATGAAAATTTGGATTGGATCACTTCGCAGTTGGCTATCAAGTAAATCCTGGGGGAAGGAATAGTGCTACTTTACGTTGAATATTATGTGTTTAGCAATGTCGTTTGTGCACTCGGATATATGGGTTGTTGCTTTTGTTGCAGGAGGTCCGTGGAACCCCGTTGGGTTGGATCAAACTTCAGTTGTCCGATTCATTCAGTTGAATATCGAGATTATTCAGGCACATACTTTTTTTTAGTTAATCTTACGTTATAGATTCTAATAAAAAGTTGCTATTATCACAAGGCAGCGAGTTCTATAGGAATCTCGTGCGTCGTCTCAAAGTTGAACGAATAGACTGTCGGTTTAAATCGATGTTACGCTCATAAAGAGTAAATAAAAAAAAGTATTGAAAAATTTGTCGTACTAGCAAGACAGTAAAATATGTTATTGCACATATCAATAAATCATAACCATGATGTTTGGGAATTTATTTGCATCGAAATGTCCCTTCTTTAGTAACACGCATATAACAGACCCATATTCTTGTTTTCGTTTGAACCGTATTTTTCATACTATTAGACAATAAAGCTTAACTGTTCTTTTTGAGCGACAGCATGTTTTTCAAACTTATGGCAGGAAATCCTTCCTAAATCATTAAACAGTCTCTGCATCAGTCAGCTCGTACAGAGCGAGTGTCATGTTACTATTATTTATTTATTTATTTATTTGGAGGGAAAATCCCACACTAGTGGGCGCAAAACCTCATCATTTCAGTACCAACAGATACATTTGCTTGGACTAAGTTTGATTGGATGATTGCTTTTCGGTTCCGATATTAATGATAACATAATTAACTTAATTTAAATACAGAAAACTGAAACCGTCAGGAAGTTGAAAGTACATTATAAAATAGATTCTTAAGCCTAACACGGGAGATATTAAAATCAAAGCAGTTAAAACATTTGTTGAAAATCTTGAACATGCTAGTTAACGGCTCATTAGCGCCGTAGTTTGTGCGAGAAGCCGGGATGTTGAAAAAATAATAAGAACGTAAATTTACGCGTCTGATATTGACTGCGCTTTGGTCAGAGAGCGTATAGGGCGTCGTTGTGCCAATTTGGTCGTGGCACATTTCGAGTATGAGAGAGTGATTGCAGTTTGCTCAAAAGTGCCTGAGTAAAATGCAAGTATTTTCGATGATTACCCGTAGTTGTTACAGTGAAGATATACACCCATATTCTCGTTTATGTCTGGACGTGTTTGCCATACAGAAACATTTTTATTTGATTTTGTGTGGTGGATGGGTTTCGGGCGTGGACAGGCATATGGGTGATAATATTAAGTTTACGTTAGGATAACGTTGAAACATTGAGAAATGTATCGCTTCAGTTTAAGAGGCACTTCACTTCGCAACCGATGAACCACTCTGACGGCCAACATTGCCGTGCAGGCGCCGTGTGTTGGCAGGGTCCAATATTGGACAGTTTGACGTTTATAAAGTACCATCAGTTGAAACTGTATTTTTGAACTTTATCTCTATACATTCTTAGATGTTTCTTAGTAGATTATCATGTTGGTGTAAGCTGATTCAAAGAGTAAATGGTTTTAACATTGAGCTGTCCATAGTTGGGCGTTGTTGAACTTCTGGTACTTGCACAACATTTCATGTGAATACCAAAGTAACCATATAATCACAAAATAGCTTTAGGTGTGGGTTCAGAGTGGTACAATGTCACTGAGATATGGTTAGTTGGGTATTCAGATGAAACTATTACTTTAAAAAACTAATCCTGATTGTATCTCTTTTTCGTTTTTTCGTTTGCATGTAACACTGTTTGATATTACTAACCGCACCGAGCCTTCATTCCGGGTGGTGAGCGAACCTGAAGAAGAAGAAGAAGAAGACCATAAACCCCTTCTCGGAACGAGTGTTTTGTTAGTGGACCTGGTCTGCGATTCAAGGTTGGACTCTGTGATGATAAGTATCACATAACAGGTAAAGTAGGCAGCATCATCTTTATCGAAATGTAAGTATTATTGACAATAATCATAACTAGATTATATGCAAATTTATATGATAGGTACCTGGATCAACGTTGTTTAAACATGCGCATTCAATCGTTACGGCATCTAATTCTGCATTTTAAACCTACCCAACCCTCTTCCTTTCTACAATCCCTGAGCAGCTGGTTTACCATAAGTGTACCTCGCAGAACTTTATTAACCCCCATGGGTAAAGATGCTGTGTTGCTCACTCCTCTCCCCTTCCCTGGTGTATTATGGATGGTGTGAATATTCACATCGGTGACATGGCCCCTGACCCCCTTGTGCATCATAAAATGAAAAAAATGAAAATGAAATTACGCGTCTGATATTGACATTCAACTGCTGCAGAAGTGAACCGCAATTGATGTCCGATCGCAGGAGATCAGCAATAAAGGTAGCCTTAGAGACGCCTCGGCGAACACTAAGTAATTGTAAGGACATCAAATTACAACGACTTTCATAACTAGGGAGATTGAAAGGATCACTCCAGGGTAGCCAACGAAGGGCGAAACGTACAAATCTTCGCTGATTGGCCTCAATACGATTCACCCTATTGCTGTAAAAAGGAGCCCATACTACGGAACAGTACTCTAATGTGGAGCGGACTAGCGAACAATAGAGTGTTTTTAAACAGAAAATGTCCCTAAAGTCTTTAGCGAAACGAAAAATGAAACCAAGTTGAGAAGATGCCTTAGCGGAAACATAAGCCACATGATCCTTGAAAGTGAGTTGTGAATCAAGTAGAACGCCTAAGTCTTTAATGGTAGATTCACGGTTTAATATTTGCTCCTGCATAAGCATAACAGATAGGTGATTTTTTTCCTGGAAAACGTTATAATGGCACATTTAGAAGCATTTAGTACCATCCTGTTCTTGTCACACCAAACAGCAAAAACGTCCAGCTGCTGCTGAAGAAACAATGCATCACTTCGATATTTGATGACAAAGTATAGTTTGAAATCGTCAGCATAAGACAGCTTCAGGCAAAGGATCAAAAAGTGAACGTCATTCAGATACAAAAAAAAATATGAACGGTCCCAGATGATGTTATGCCTCAGAACATCCCGGCGGCGCCGACTGGTATTGAACCCAGGCCTGCTGGGGTGAGAGGTAAACACGCTTACCACTACACCACCGGCGCCGTTGTATGGGTGGAGTTGTCAGCTTAGCTTAGCTTAGTCTGACTGCACGTATCGATAGTTGCACTCCGTGATTGATCTGAACCAGTGAAATTGTACAAAGAATCAACTGAATGGGGCTTGGTAGTAACCTGCCATTCCGCCGTTGTATGGGTGGAGTTGTCATGGGTACAAACTGGTCGATCGCATACACGACAATATTCGAGAAATAGAAGAGGCAGCATTCGCGTCACGATCTCGGAGTTCATCGTCCCAGCTGATGTTTTCAAAAAAGGTTGCCATTTCCTCGAAGTCAGTCCTACGGTAGTCATACGATACGCTGTCCACGGTAGCCCGAAAAGTGCAAGCCTGATATAAGTGTAATGATAACTGCAGAGGTGAATGGTGTCTACAACGTTTAACAAGTGGTTCGGGTGCCTCTTTCGATTCTAATCCCGTAATTAGTCGTCTGTTAACCATCCTTTCAGCGGGGCCGGTGGTGCAGTGGTCATCGTGATAACTTCTCATCCCAGCAGGGCTGGGTTCATTCCCAGTCCGGCGCCGCCGGGATTTTCTGAGGCATAACATCTCTGATCACGCCTTCCTTTGCAAGGGAAGTAAAGCCGTTGGTCCCCGATTCATGAGTTGATGGGTCGAAAGGTAGGGTCCAGGTGTGGAAGCTGCCTCCCTGGCGTCGGTAGCATTGGTGCTCAGCACGGAAAATAATATCGACGGAAAACAAATTAAGAAAAAAAAAAACATCCTTTCGTAGACTTTGGACATGTAATTTATAAGTGTAATCGGCCGAAAAGCAGCAGGTCCGGTCTCAGTGGAATTCGGCTTCGGGATTGGTACGAAAACCCCTGTTTGCCAGTTGTTCAGGAATACTCCGCTGTGCCAAATACCATTGGTGTAGCTAATGGGGGGCCCTCCAGAATTATCTAGGCCCCTCTCTAGAATTATCTAGGCCCCCTCCACATAAATTGTCTAGCTACGCCAATGCCAAATACGATTCAGCAACTCTAGAAGCGCGGTTTTCACTGAAAAAGGTAGCCGTTGGAGCATGGGATACCCAATGGAATCAGGGCCCGTAGCTAAGCCCCGTCCTTTGTCGACAAGCAAGCAAATTTTGTATTTGCTTGATTCTCACTTTGTTTATTCCAGAAAATCAGTACATTGCGCGCATTGAGTGATCAGATGACAGCCCTGGCCGTTGGAATACAAAGAGATAGTCAACGAAGAGAATATGTCAATGTTACTTAGGACCTAATGCAATGTTCAGCTTGAACTGATTTATTCTTTTATGTGTAAATTATGGCGAAGCGTCGAATGTCCTTTCTTCTTCATCAATTAAGATCATAAAGTTTTACGGTTTTACTTGTTCAAGACTTAAGGTATTTTTTACAGATCAAAATGTCGAAAGTTTTCAAAGCCTCAGATTTTTTTTTAAATGGTTTGGAGTAACAAAATCATACTAAGTTACAAATATATTTATGCTGAAGGCGATTGGGCTGAATTCTGATAAGTAAAAGATTGATCTAAGCAATTGTGTAAGAAATATAGAACTTGAAAAAATAACTGATCACATGTATTGGATCTTGAGGCTTCAGGGAGTTTTTAAAATTCAGAGACAAAAAAAAAATAAGCTTAAGATTTTTCGACTTTTTTCGACAAGACATTTTTAAGATGTTAGCTTTGAAAAATGTCAACAGCCCAGATTTATAAAATTCAGATTCCGGATAAAATTTTCTTGGCTCATAGACTGGACAAATTTTCCTGATTTCAAAGAAATTTTGATGCGAATATAAAATAATTCTGACTTGAATTTAAAGGAAATTCTTATAAAAATTCTTTTGAGGAGAAGCTAAAGGAAAAGAATTGTGCGGATAATGTAAAGAAAATGAAGAAGAGAGTTCCAAGTGAATTAATCATATTGTCGAGCAGTTCTGGGACCACCATCTATCTACCAGTGATTTTACGAAAATGACGCAATAAATTCCAGAATTTTCAAGCTTAGCATGAACAAGATTCTATTTTCTCGAGATTCTAGAAGAAAAATATCAAAATATTGTTCCACAGTAAAGTTCGAGTAGTAGGAATGATGTGATGTTATGTGATGTGATCCATTCCGAAATGTGTTCCAAGGAATCGCGGCAGAACAGATGAGATAAATAAGACTATAAAAACACACATGGATTTCGTACAAACACTTTTGTGTATTTATTAAAAAGGAGCAGGTAAAATACTTTCCTTACACGATGTTTAAATACAGTTAAGACTTAACGTAAAAAAACATTTAAAATAGAAAAAGTCTATTACACACAGTACCAAATTGCATTTTCTCCACCGCCCCCTTTCACCACCGCGTTACATCCGTTATCAGTACGGTTTCCTCTGGCTTTCGAAACTGATCCCCAGCGGCCTGCGTGAGGTAAATCAGTTGGCCGGAAGAGGTGCCACTACTTATTCTACTGCCTGGTCCGCCTGCCGCTTGGTTGATGTCCTTGGAGAGTACCGTAACGACCGGTGACGCATGAATCGTTCTCACTTTGCTTCCGCCTTCACTTTTGATTTTCGTTAGATCTATCACATCCGTTGCTGGGGTTTTAGCTGCCGTATTAGCCTTGGATTTTGCTTTGTCGAACGATTCGTCATCGAGTTGTACTGTCGTTTTGTGGCTGCCGGACGTAGTTTTGCTTCGGTCGTGCGTCTTCAGATGGCGCTTCATGTCCCCTCCGCAGCGGAACTTTTTCATGCAAATCGTACACGAGTACGGTTTCTCACCGGTGTGAATCATTCTGTGCGACTGAAGATACGAACTAGCCCGGAAAGCTTTGTTGCAAATATCACAAACGTGATTCTTTTCGTTTAAGTGTATTTTTCTGTGTAGCACTAGCGAGTATCGGCGTGCAAATTTCTTCCCACAAAACTCGCATTGATGCGTTTTCTCATTCGAGTGTATGGAGGATTGGTGGTACTTCATGTCACCCCACTGGCGGAATGCTCTCCCGCATTCCTCGCACTTGTAGGGCTTCTCTCCGGAATGCAACCGCTCGTGTACCTTCAATGCACTGGAAGTGAAGAAATTTTTCGGGCATTGGTTGCAGTTGTAGGGCCGTTCGTTCTTATGCTGCAACTCATGGTAACGAACTGCCGTTTTCGAATTGAAAACCTTATCACAGTCTGGTTCAGCACAGGGATACTTTTTGCCAGCCTTCTTCGACCCATCATCGTTCCCTGTTTCATCCGAAGCTTCTCCATTGGCCTTTTTCCGACCTTTCTTTTTACCCGGAGGGGCAGATAAGGTCACTACTGGTCTTGAGCTGTTAACATGATTAGGTTCACCATACCGGTGACTCACATCAACGACTTCCGCATGATCTTCACTATCATCGTTAGCCTCCAACGCATCTCCTTCACCCTCTTCATCGTCGGATACATAGAATTCTTCGTTATCATCGTCCAAGTCGCCCTCGCTAGGATCTTCGTTTGGTTTATGTTCGTCTTTTAGAAGCTTGGTCCCGTCCAATTCGTTCAACTGCGGCGCTGTAAGGTTGAACTCCACCAGCTTGGCTATCTCGTGGTTTTCGATGTCGTTCGTACTGAGGCCAAGAATTTGAATACTGTTCATGTCACAATCGTCGACAATGGTTGGCTGCGGGAGTGACTGCCCGGTTTCCAGTATGTAGGACGTTGATGGGTCGTGGTTTGGTTGGAGCGAGTGACGAAGAATCGCGTGCTGTTGAGAGTTCGAGGATAGCCGATTTGTTGATTGTTGGTGGGTGGACGGCATTTGATGCGCGGTGTGCTCCAATATATCTGGAAAAAATGGTGGAGATAATAATGTATTTAGTATTTATGGTTTTGATAAAATAGAATTTGAGAAACTATTATTAAAATGTAATAAAGAGAACCTATAGGGTGTCCTACAAAGCATAAGTACACTTTCAACATGCCGCCTTTGCGCAATTTTCGATATCGTCGAAATGCGCGGCATTTGCCCATTTATAATTTGGAAGTAAAGGCACGGTATTAACAAAGCTGGCGGCGGATTCGATTCCCCGTCTGGTCCAGAATATCTTTCGGGTTGGAAATGTTCTGTACTTCCCTGGACATAGAATGCAGCACAATATAGAAATTCATGCATTGGCTTAGAAAGCTCCCAATTAATAACTGTAGAAGTGCTTCGAGAATAATCAAGTTGAGAGCAGGCGAAAGCTCGTTTAAGAGCGTCAAAGCTAAGAAGAAGCAGAAGATTTTGATCCTCGCAATAATTTGGAGTACTTCCAAGTTTGCTGAATGTGAAGTCGTGCCAAAGACGTCAGGCGTACGCAACGATTTGTCTGAGCCTGGAAAGTTTTAGAGTTATATTCTGGTCCAGGTCCAGGCCGCAGCAGCAAATTGGAATCCACCCTCGCTCAGGAGGAACTTCGTTGGCTTGTTGGGAATGATTGAAGAAGTTTATTTTTGTGAAATCTTTGTAAGAATGTCCTGATTTTTTAAGGTCGCAGTGTTTGATGAAATCTCTCGAAACTTCTTAAACTTTTCAGAACGTTTCTGAAGTTGCCAGAACGGTATTCGAAACCATCCCAAACAATGTATGAAACCTCTCAGAACTTCTAACAAACACCTACGGCTAAAATTCTCTCAAATGTGGATCGATCGATTAATTAAAAAAAAACATGGATAATAATTCCAAGAGAATCTAATTATAGGTAAAATCTTTGCAAAATTTTAAACTTGCTTGAAGATAGTTTCAAGAGAATTCCTAAAATAATTCATGAGAATTTTTAAGAAATTTCAAAAACTTTGAGTGGATTTGTTAGGAAATTTCGAGGATATCTCCAAACAAACTCTGAGTTGTGTTCCAGGAGATTCTGAAGTAATTTCCAAGGGAATTTTAAGGAGAGTTTCAAGAGAATTCCAAGAGATCCTTCACAAAACCATTTTTAAAAAGCATTTCAAGAAAATTCTGTGGAATTCTGACGTAGAATAAAAAAAATATGGGATAACAGTTTTCTAAATTATAAATGGCATACCACAAGATTTCGAGGAATGTTCCAAACGAATTGTGATGCATATAATGGAGAGAAATTGAAGCAATTTCTCGCGAGAATTTTTAAGAATATAAAGATAAATGTAGAGCGGAGCTTCCTTTAGCTCAGTCGGTAAAGGCGCAGCTACAAAGCAAGATCATGCTGAAGGTGGCTGGGTTCGATTCCCGGTCTGGTCTAGGAATTTTTCGGGTTTGTGGAATTGTATACAGTGTATAAAACAGTTAGGGTTAAATGAGTCATTTTCATATGAATATGAACTGCCATCTGCCTCATCATCCACTGCGAGATTCACTGTCTCGTGAGAATCTGAATGATTGAGAAGTAAACGAGTCACTGACAGCCAAGCACTCAGTCAGCACGTTTATTCTTCCGTGATGGTACCCAATCCTTGTTTTGAATGAATGAGCGTACATTTTCTATAGAAACATGCTTTAATTGCATGCTGTTTGAGCGAAGGCAAGCGGTGTGAGTCGCCTGTTCGTGAGTGACTGAATGTTTTTGTTGGCTCTTTCATTGTCTCGTTCTTTACCGCTTTGAACAAACGATATGGACAGAGCAATTAATTGAATAGTGCAGTGCCTTCACACTCAGCCTAAGCAGTCAATAATTTTACGCTCTGATTGTATATAGAAAGTAGAAAGCGAGCAAAGGACAATTTTGAGGAAGACACGAATCGGGTCGAGCATCCTTTATCAAATCAAGAAGAAGACTGGCAACTCTGCCAGAATCCAAGCGACAGATACAGTAGCGCTGCGCTCGAGCGAAGGTGGAAGTAACGCATAGAGAAATGAGCAAATACACAAACCATTCTTCTGAGGTTGTAATCTTTGCTATCCAATTCGTTCGAAGCATTTACCTTTTCGCGTTAGATGACGCGATTGTGCCGGTCTCATAGCGGTCGTATGAGAAAATGGTAGAGTTGCCAGTCTTCTTGATATGTTGTCTTCGCTTTTATCAAATTCATTCGTTGATGAAGGATGATGAGGGGTGGAATTTTTCACAACCTGGAAATTTCCCTACTGATCTACTGGGTGTTGTGAATGGACTGAATGGAAGGTACCGTGGCGCAATCCTACGATCACACTGTTCAGCGCTGCCTACAAGATTCTCTCTCAAATACTATGCTCACCGAAGAAACGACGTGACAGCTCATACAAGCTACTTTCAAATTCGTGTCCAAGACGCCATATTTAAAATATGTAAAAACTACCGACATCTACTCATCCGATCGCGTCATACCATGAGCAAGGACACGAATCCTCGTATAATTTATATTGCCTTGGTTTAAAATGGACCATATTTTCACGATCCGGCAAGTTTACAGAAATGCCGCGAATACAACTTGCCCTACTACCCGCGCATAATTTATTCATTGATTTCAAATCAGCATACGACATAATCGATCAAGATCAGCTATGGCAAAATATGCACGAATACGGATGTCCGGATAAACTGACGCAATTGAACCGAGTCCCTTCGAATCTCAAAGAAGATTACAGCAAGGTGATGGGCTTTCGTGAGAGGAAGAGGTTCAAGAGAAGATAGTGTTATTCTCGCACCCCGAGTTCGGATTGACGGCGATATCGGGGTGGTTGATGAGTTCGTGTATTTGGGCTCACTGGTGACCACCGATAATTGGCGTTGACGGCGACTCTGTAGCTCTTTACTCCTATGGAAAATCGCGTAAGCAAACGTCGGACAGTGCGTGAAACATGGCGGCTTTTGTACTATCTCTTTACTCCACCGAAAATTCCCGTAAGATACTGTCAATTTTTGCTAGAAGAGACGATTTTCCAACGGTTCCGTCAACGCCAATGACACCAGCAGAGTAATCCAAAGCATACTTTGTACTCCACAGGACGTCAAATAAAGTTCGCCGCAAAACGAAGTTCACACTAAAGGCCCAAACGCAATCTGGACGGAAGCGGAACGGAAACGGAAAGTTTGACAGTTGTCACAAATGACATCAAGAAGCCTAACCGATGTCTATTTGGTTCTAACTAGTTTTCAATCCGACAAGTAGGCTTACTCAGCTCGGGCTTTTCCGCTGCCGATGCCGTTCCGTTTCCGCTGTCATTGCGCTTGGGCCTTAAAAGGCTCTGAACCATTTGGTGGATTATTTTAACTTTTGGTTAAAATTTGACAGATGGAAAGTTATCGATTAACCCTGCTATCCGAGCGTGGTTATTTCTGACAAACAAGAAGTTAAGTTTTTTACAACCGTGGGTTGAAAACCGGTCAATCGACAGCACGGGGATTTTCGAACATAGAAAATAACAAGGTACAAAGACAAAGCTTTTGGTATTGTTTGTATGGTGTTTTTGCGCTGGTTTGATTAATGGTTTTTTAGCATACGGGTTAGCGAAAAATTATTTTCTCCGTTGTGTATCGTTGCATAAACACGTCAGCAATCAGCGAGAAGTGAAGTTCGTCGTGGAAATATTGTTTATAGTGTATATTTCGAGTTGTGAAATAAGTGCTGAATCAATTTCGTATCGGAAATCTTGTGTTTACTGCTGTGTTATTGTTATCAAGATCAGACGCACTGCTGAATCCACCTCCACCGTTCGAGTGACGAGCGTATTAGAGCATCTCCACACGCGTGTTCAGTTGCTATCATGTTCATCATGAGTTCTGCTTGTGACAAATGCGCAAAACCTGTTAAAGGCGATGAAGAGTTACATACACATGAGGTGCGCGAACACGAAGCTGAACAAGGCTTCCCAGACAACCAAAATGCACATATATTCAAAGTTGTTTTCGTGATATACAAACATATATACAAACAAACAATTCGTATAGAATGCAAAGAAATGGCTTATACGTACAAAAGTGGAGGCCATATACGTGCATATTTTAATTTAATTTTAAACGAGTTGATTTAACATCATATACGATTTAATCTGTAATAACAAATTCATTTTGAAAAGTCTTACGATGTAATCTGATTTAATTTGTGATTCAGTACGAGGGAAAAATGAGTCATCGCATATAAGTCGGAAATATGCATTCTATACGATTTAACTTAAACATAATGCGAAGTATGCCATTCTTATATGCGATTTTGACTTAAACTGTAGCAATTTACGATACTGTCTGTACATTGTTATACGACTTCTGGTTGTCTGGGTTTTCTGAACATTATCCACTCAAGTCCGAACTTGTACTGGATGTGTGACGAGTGCGTAACTTTGATGAAATGTGCCAGATTTAAAACAACAGTCTCGTCGTTTGGAAGCGCAATCAACTTTATTACCGAGAGGCAAGAAATTGCACATGCTGAGATCAGACAGGAAATGGCCAAATAAGGACAGCAAATTGCTATATTGACGAGACGAATAGCGTCATCCTCTCCGACAAATCTGGATTCCGGAAATATCACCCGTCAACCCCCATTGAAACGTCGCCGTGATGAAGCCCTACTGACTAGCAAACCACTTGTTGGTGGTACTAAAGCGGTGACTGATGCTGATGTTCGGACTGTTCCTGAGCCTACTGAGTTGTTTTGGCTGTACCTCTCCCGTGTGCACCCTAGCGTGAAACCGGAATCAATTGAGAAGCTAGTCAAAACTAGCGTTCAGTGCGAAGATCCGGTAAAGGTTGTGCCGCTTGTGAAAAAGGGATCCGATACGAGTCGAATGAGCTTTATTTCGTACAAGGTCGGAATGGTTACAAAACTACGCAAAATTGCTTTGAGTTCGGATACTTGGCCAGAGGGGATGTACCGCGAATTCGAGGACACAAGTTCAAAAAACATGTGGTTGCCTCGTTTGAACACGCCGACCATCACAATCTCTCCTGTTCCGGGTCCTTCGGATTATTCCACTCCCGTCACCGGAATGGATGGCATCTAATTCCGAGTTACATGCAGCGTTGCACAATCGAAGCTGCAGCATCACTTGATGAAGTCGATTTTATTCCCAATTCCTGTAAACCAGAACGCACTATGGGGGACCTCGTTCCGCTCTATCCGGTCGCGCACGCTGTTTCCAGTCATCATAGTCGTTCTGGCCCTGCGGTCGAGTATGGCGGTGAGGTCCCCCAACCTTCATGTTCAGGCAAGTATGCTTCTAGTAGCAACAGGTATTTGTCTGATCAGTTTTCGAGTTCCAGTGTTACGCCTCTAGATACAAAATCCTTCACCGACTTCCTCCTGTTGAGTAGCATTTCTGTTGCCAACGGCATTAAACAACCACTGTACAGCATGAGTCACCAAACTTCACGCCCGGGTCGCACTATGGACTGCATTTTGGAAGCCTCTGGTTCCTCTAGTCCAGTCCCGCTGATTCCTGCCACCGGTCATCACAGTCGTCCCGGTCCTGTGACTAGATGTGGATCAGGGGTCTTCCAGCTTGCTTCAACAGGCAAGTACAAATGTGATCAAGACAATTCTTCGCCTGATATGCCTTCAAGTTACAGCACGTCTTGCATTTCCAATGTTGCTTATTTCAATCCTGAACATCACGGTCTGCAGTCCACCGATGACGGCTTCCTTTATAACACCGATTCTGAACATACTGCACCGAATCGTAGCTGCCACGTTTCTGAAACTGTCAGCCCAGAACGCATTGCCTACCGCCCCATGGAAGCTCCTAAGCCTCTCAACGCAGTCGTGTGTACTAATTCCTACCATCGTAGTTGTTCTGACCCTGTGGTTGAGAACGGTGAAGGGGTATTCCAACCTTTGATTTCAGGCAAGTATGCGTTTATTGAAACCAATTCCTCGTCTGATCAGCCTCCACGTTTCAGCGCAACATCTTCTTCACCACCGACTGAACCTTGCCTTTTCGATTGCCAACCTATGTTATCCGATGGACTTGTGGTGTATTATCAAAATGTTAGTGGCTTGCGAACTAAAATTGACGACTTATTCTTGACTGCTGTTGAGTCCAACTACGATGCAATAGTTCTTACCGAGACCTGGCTAGATGATCGACTTCACTCAGCACAATTATTTGGCAGTAGGTTCTCAGTTTTTCGTAATGACCGTAACCGGATGAACAGTGTCAAATCACGCGGTGGTGGCTTCTTGATTGCGGTTTCCAAACGACTGAACTGTTGCCTCGATCCTGCTCCGGTTAGTACTTCTCTTGAGCAGTTATGGGTGAAGATTACGACGTCACACAACATGATAAGCATCGGCGTTATGTACCTTCCTCCTGACCGTAAATCTAATTTGAGCTGCGTTGAGAACCATATCAGTTCCATTGGTGCTGTATTGTCCCGATTACATCACAACGATCTAGCTCTGTTATTTGGCGACTATAACCAGTCTGGGCTTGTTTGGAATATTTCCGCGAATGATCATCCAACCATTGACATTCTTCGGTCGTACATGCCTGCTTCCTGCTGTGCTCTTTTGGATGGTTTTAGCCTGCATGGTTTAATGCAAATTAATTCTGTACCAAACAGAAACTCTCGGCTGCTTGATCTTGTGTTGGTGAACGAAGCCGCCGCACTAGAGTGCAGTGTCACTGAGGCATCTGAGCCTCTGATACATCTAGACGCCGATCATCCAGCGTTGGAAACATTCATCAATCGATCAGTTCCTGTTCTCTATGAAAACATCGTTGATGTACAAAGCCTGGACTTTCGTAGAACTGACTACGTCGCATTGAATCACTCACTGGCCCAGGTAGATTGGCAGTCGTTTGACTTGTGTTCGTCCATTGATGAAGCCGTTAACTATTTCGACGAAGTTGTTAGCCGATTAATAATGGATTGTGTGCCTCTGAGGAGACCTGCTCCAAAACCTGCATGGTCCAATGCTCGATTACAAAACTTTGAAGCGTGTGAGATCGAAGGCTCTTCGAAAATACAGCCAGTCCCGTAATCCATTCACCAAACGATTATTTTCGTTAGCAAGTAATTGCTACCGAATGTACAACGGTTTTCTATACAAGAAGTACTCGAGACGTATGCAGACCAATCTCCGGCGTAATCCTAAGCTATTCTGGACGCTTGTGAAGACAAAAAGGAAAGAGGATGGGCTACCGGTTGAAATTCATCTAAGCGATAAAAGAGCCAACACTTCTTTAGAGAAATGTTACCTCCTAGCTGAGCATTTCAAGAGTGTTTTCAACGATTCAACGGCATCGTTAAGCCAAGTTGCTGAAGAGATCAAAGATACTCCCAGTGACGCGTTCAGCTTTGATATTTTCACGGTCACATTGGACCTCGTCGACTCTGCCATCCAGAAGCTGAAATTCTCGAACGCTGTTGGGCCTGACGGCATTCCATCGTCCATACTCAAAAGATGCTCAACAGAGCTTTCCTCTCCGCTTTCAAAGCTGTTCAATATTTCGTTACAACAACGTGTATTTCTCTCTCGTTGGAAATCTTCGTTCATGTTCCCGATTTTCAAGATAGGAGACAAACAAAATGTGGAGAATTACCGAGGAATTACTTCACTTTGTGCCTGCTCGAAAGTATTCGAGATAATCATCAACGACGCTTTATTTGCCAGCTGTAGAAACTACATTTCTCCTGACCAACATTGTTTCCACCCCAAACGTTCGGTCTCAACAAACCTCGCTCCTTTCATTTCCCTATGCCTACGGAATATGGAGGCAGGGGCACAGGTGGACGTCGTATACACGGATCTCAAGGCTGCTTTCGACCGGGTTGATCATGCCATTCTAATTGCCAAACTTGAGAAGCTTGGTGTTTTTCATGGACTCACTCGTTGGTTTGAATCGTATCTTACCAATCGAGAGTTTTGTGTGAAAATCGGGTCTGATCAATCGGAATATTTTTCAAACAACTCAGGCATTCCTCAAGGCAGCAATTTGGGACCGCTGCTATTCTCCATATTCATTAACGAAATCGGTTTGATACTTCCAACTGGCTGCCGGTCATTCTATGCAGATGATGTCAAGATGTACGTGGTTGTGCGATGCTTCACTGACTGCCTGCGGTTGCAGCACCTGATCGATAGTTTCAAAGAGTGGTGCTCTAGGAATTTTCTCACGTTGAGTGTTCAAAAATGCAATATCATCACTTTCCATCGCAAGCTAAAACCTATTGCATTCAATTATACGATCGATAACCAACCTCTGCAGCATGTGGACAACGTTCGCGATCTAGGAATTACACTTGATTCTGCTTTGACATTTAAGCTACATTACACGGATATCAAAGCAAAAGCTAACAGGCAACTCGGATTCATCTTTAAGATCTCTGATGAGTTTCGGGATCCTACCTGCCTGACAGCTCTATATTGTTCTCTAGTGCGATCGATCTTGAAATTTGGTGTAGGTAGTAGTATGGTGTCCGTATGAAACAGTTTGGATAGCGAGGATCGAGTCTGTTCAGAGGAAATTCGTTCGTTACGCTCTTCGCCACCTTCCTTGATACGATCCTACGAACCTTCCACCCTAAGAAGATCGTTGCCAACTACTGCGTATTGAAAGTCTTGAACGTAGGCGGAAGATTAACCAGGCAGTTTTTGCAGCAAAAATGCTGATAAGCGAAATCGACTCTCCCGGGATTTTGGCTGAATTCGAAATCTATGCACCTGAACGAGTTCTACGATCGAGAAGTTTCCTGCATCTCGGACCCCGTTCAGCTAATTACGGATTACATGATCCAATACGGTTCATGTCTGCCCGTTTCAATGAATTCTATGTTTTTTTTCGATTTCAACTGCACAGTGGAAACATTTCGTCAACGGATTCAACGTAGTCTGCTGGATAGGTGACGATACGGTTCGACACATGCAACTGCTTTCAATCAGCAAATTGTTGCAAGACGGTGAGTAGCTGTTCATTAATGTACATCTGATGAATTTTGCTACCTGTTTCCTTTTTTGTTCCCGATCAAGTCTGCGATGACGGCCTCGACTGATCCAAGGACAACTCCATGCCATAGGACGAGGTTATTTTTTTATGATGAAGACCATAGTATTATTATTTTTATAATTGATGTGTTTTTCTGTCCTTTTTATATTGTTCCTTGTATTTTGAAAAGATATGGGGGTTTTACGCCTATTTGCGCAAATATTTGCCAAATAGGCTTTTCCCCATCAATCTTCATTTAGACAACAAAAATCCGATGAAGAGAATAATAAATAAATAAATAAACTTTCGAAATGTCACTTTTAACCACGAGTTAAATTTAACTTGGCAAATGGTTCACAGCCTAAGGCCACGGCCAGGGTAGACGCGACACGCGACGCGACGCGATGCGACTCACGCAAGGAATAATAATAAATAATAAGATTCTTTTGAATTGGTCGCGTCGCGTCGCGAATCGCGTCTACCCTGGCCGTACCCTAAGACTCCAGGAAGCCATGATTCTGGTTAATTTCATTCGGACTAGTAAGTGCAGGCGTTATGTTCCGGTTGGATCGTAATATCAAATAAGAAGAAGGAGGGCCAAGTCCCATTAGAACTTCAGATCGATTGGACGTTTTATGATTGACTTATAGAAACAATTTAAAAAATGACATTTGCCATCTCTAACCCAATACACCCCGCGCTCCACTCACCTTGTTCCTGGAAGTCCGACTTGTTGAGAAACAGCACAAAGTTGTCGTTTCCTGTGTTGATGTGAATCTCCTGTGCATCCAGATCGCTGGCAAAATCAATCGCTTTCACCATTTCGGACTGTACTACCGTTGGTATCTGCTGCTGCTGCTGAGTTTGGAACCATGCTTTATCATCCACTGTGCTGCGTCCCATGCTGAGTCCAAGACCATCGTTAGTATCCGTATCGACGGCTTCCTGCACTTTCTGTACAACATTTCGGATGCCTTCCAACATGTCTTCGGTCTCGCTAAACTCTCCGGCTGCTTCAGTATCGGTACAAACCGGCACTGTTGTTTGCTGCTGAGGGTTGACAATCACGTCAGTGCCAAGCTGATTTTGTTGCTGATAAAGACGATCGCTTTCGGTGTGGTTGACGACTTGCGAGGTGAAAGCTGTCTGATGATTGGGTTGGTAGTTTAATCCTTGTGCTAAGTCCTCGGAAGTAGACCGAGAAGATTTGTCATTCTGCAGCTTCTTGGTATGTTTCACTCGTGGAAGTTTTGGTTTCTTCTTCGGGTCATTTCCTTTGCCATCATCGAGTGGACTTCCCGTCAAGGGTTCGTAGTGACCTTTTAGATGAGTAAAAAAAATCAACTGATCTTCAAACGATTCACTGCAAAGTTGGCAGGCAAATGCCTTAGGTTTTTCCTTGACGGTGCCCGTATTCTGCTGACTTTGGTGATCATTGGAAATGACCGAATCCCGATGGAACTGATCCGGGTGGTTTGTACTCTTCGAAACGACCAATTTCTTGGCAAGTCGCTTCTTGTGAGGCAGGTAGGTGTTAGCGAAGTGACTGTTGGTATTATGTCCTGTCCCGGACTCGATGTCGTCTTCATCATCGGAACGAGGTTCGCACTCCATGAGATCTTCTCTGGAGATGAACCCCTCAGTGGATACGCTATCGGAGGGTGGCCTTTCAAGGACAGTATTTTGTTGCGATGGAGCCATTTGATAGGCAAGATATCGCTTAGGAGATTCAACACGTTTGATGGGCGCCAGTGGGGGCATTTGAATGCACTAAGGATAGAAAAGAAATCAAAATGGTAATCCCGGTTGAATTCCGTTGCACATTCTATTAGGTCTTAACTTACATTCTGGCTTGTTGCGGTACTAATCGCAATATTTGTACTGGCGGTAGCTGATGAAGCAACGTGAAATAATTTAGGGGGAACGCAATCGTTTTGCAACATAGGATGGATTGACGAAAGGTGCGTTTGATTCGGTTGTTGCTGTGGTTGTTGTTGCTGCTGTGGCTGTGATAGTGACTGTTGCTGGAGCTGTGTTGTATTTTGTATTATCTGATGAGAAACTGCTACCGGAGCATGGTGATGAGAGTGATGGTGATGATGAGGATGATGATGATGATGATGATGCGTGCCATGGTGGGTAGTGAGAATATTTCCCGAACTATTTAGATTGGCCATATTGGGGTGCGTCGTATTGAGAAGTTGATCTTGATGATGGTAGTGAATGAAGTTACTTCCAGATGTGGCAACAGGCATGTGATTGACATTGGCCAATTGTGATTGGGTTAGCTTGTCGTGATCACTCAACGAATTAACGGAAGACATATCCTAAAATATACGATTAAAATAATAAACGTCAATCACCAAGAAAAATCTCACAAATGACTCACCTTAGGATTCGTAACAATGACCGGTGCTTCATGGGATATCTGTGTGGTCGGCTTGTTGACGAATTGAAGAAATAGTTTTCGATCATTCTCCGAAGTTTGCAAGGTACTCGCATCGACCAGCGTTTGAAGGTCTTCGGCCGTGTAGGTTTGAATACTGTTGTGATGATCCATTAAGTTTGTTGTTTGCTGGTGAAACTGATTGTTCGGTGTAGATGGTCCTGGGTTGCTGATATAGTCCACCAGTAACCCATTAGGCAGATGATTTGATAGTAGATCTGCACCCAACAGGGAGCTTTCGATGTATTCCTGTTCACGGCTGCTGGATGCTGGAGGAATCGTAATGAAATGCAACGTTCCATTTTCGACGTTATGAATCGTTCGAAGCACTCCTTTGGATAGATCCTCTTGTAGATGATGAGTACCAGTTCCCATTTCCAGATGATCCATTATGCTGCGATGATGAGATTCCTCCATGTTTCCGATTCTGTTGCTGATGTTGGAAGCGAGAGTAGCGATTTCAAGGTCGTAAATGTAGCAGAATCAGAAAACAGTCAAAAATGCACTAAAATTGGTAATTCTTCAACAAATTTCACTGCCTGTCACTGCTTCACTACTATCACGTTACGAAAAATTTGATGTTGTTGCCGGGAAGTAACATTTTAGCAAATAAATCGAAATCTTCCGTAAAATTAAAATGCGACTCCCGTGAACATCAACAAATTGGTGTTTGACATATTTTTCTGACATAATATCAAAGATATCGTAGTTGAATTCAACACTGGAAGCGGGTTTGTAAACAAGCACCCGTGCACGAAAACCTCGATGCAAACCGAAGAAAAAAAAAAAATCACCACAAAGGGCTGTTCAAATATTACGTCATAATGCCTTTTGATCCAAACGAGGATCCAAATTCAAATTCGAGTTCAAATTATGTTACATTCAGGCATAACATTTGATAACGGCACAAAAGAATTTGTAAACAAACTTTCTAAGGTCCTTTAAACGCGAACCAAAGTACGCCCACGCAAACCAACAACATCATCGGATAGGGGCAACTATCACCTTTCCGAAAGTGGTATTGGTTTGCGTGGGCGTACTTTAGTTCGTAAAGGGCCTTAGAAAGTTTGTTTACAAATACTTTTGTGCCGTTATCAAATGTTATACCTGACATATCATTTTAATCTAGGTGCTTCAGCTCGAGCTTCATCTACTACCACCGACGAACCGACATGCCACTGGAGCATTAAGTTAGTCCGCAACGAGGTCCGCAATTAAATTTGTCAGATGAGCGATTTGATCTGTCAAACGGGCGATCAGATCTGTCAAGCGACGTGAGACGCATACCAAGAAAATAAAATTTTACGTGTGTTCGTGTCGTTGCCCAAGTAACATTTTAAGTTTTATAGTGGTTTTAAAGCATGCTACAAGTCAAAATCATATTCTATAGAGCCCTCATTAAACCAAAATTGTTACTTGCACGGTAACCAGCGCGCCGCCGGGATGTTCTGAGGCATCCCTAATAAAAATAATCATTAACGACGTGTTTGGGGTATCATCCAAACCATTTGTGGGATAGTTTATCCATCCGGGATAAAGTTCTTTTATGGTATTTGTTTACTAGGGATAACATCTCTGATCACGCCTTCCTACGCAAGGGAAGTAAAACCATAGAGGTAAAGCCGTTGGTCCCCGGTTCATGAGTTGATGGATCGATACACGAAACGAAAATCAATTATTTTATTCATGTGTTTCACTTATACATTTTTGCCATTACATCAGCCTTATACATTCCATAAGACAAACCACATAGGTCCTATAAGAATCGAGAAAAGGTATGTGTGACCACTTAGGGGCTGTCCATAAACTACGTAGACTGTTTAGGGGGGGGGGGGGGTTGACAATTATCCACGGTCCATACAAATTTTAAAAATTTTGTATGGGCGATTGTCTACGCAGGGGGAGGGGGAGGGTCAAGAATCCCAAAAAACTGTCTACGTAGTTTATGAACAGACCCTTATACATTTCATTCAACACATGATCTTCATTAACTTTTTGCAAGGCGTCTGCTTATTAGTTGACTTATACATTTTATGAATAATCAGCAATAGAAATTTGCCAAAAGGTATAAGGAGATTTCTATCCGTGGACAGTGCAACGATGGACATGCTAGAGGTTAGGCGATTTATACTATTTTCCGAGCTATTTTCATAGCTAAGTTCGAGGCTAAGTTTTAGGAAAAAAAAAATCATAATCAATGTACGGTGTCTCGCTTGCTTGCTTCACACACACAAAAAATTATCTTTAATTAAATTGAAAAAACCATTGGTATACGCAGAGAAAATATTTTTGAACATAGCAATATTCAGTATAGTTTCAACAAAAAAGTTGTATTATCTCCCGGCTTATAAAACAATATCTTTGGTTCAACAATAATCATGCTTTCGTTTCAACAATATTTATTGTTGAATTCAAAAATGGGATGATACGACCACGTAACAATACTTTTCTTAAAGCAAAAATGATTTTTTGAGAAACTACAATATCTGGTGTTTAAAAGGAACAGCGTTAATTTTTGGACCCAAAATGCTATTTTTCTTGGTTTAAATAAAAATTTATTTAGCTCAATAAATTAATATGGTTGTTTTTATAATTCGTGGTATTTTCTTGTTTTATTTTTTAAATAAGTGAGAAATTGTTTTGATGCGTATATTATGCCATAATTCCTTCAGCTCATAAGCTCTATCCAGAAGTTCCGACGAGAACAGCTTAGAGAAACGGGGTTTGAACTGGTCAACAACGATGTGGGTGACACTTTTTTTGTCTGATCTGGAGAGGAACGCGGTTTTGCTGTACTTCCTTAGGATGGCTTGCTATAGAATTAAAAGTTTGCGTTGGTTCTTTTTGGTAGAAAGTCTTTAGCATTCAAAACAAAAGTCAGCCAACTGTCAATTCAAAAACAACTCAATTTTTACTTTTAAAAGTAGAAACTTTCAAATCAAATTGTAGAACTGTCAATATAAAAACCCATGTTTTTAAATAGACTCACGAAAGCATTTAATTTAAAAGATGGGCATTTTTAACGCAACGATGTATGTTTTCATTTCAAACATGAATTATTTTTTAATTCGACTGCTATATGCTTTGAAGAAAATAAAAATAGAAATATTTTATTTAATATATATTCGTTTATTTATATTTTTGATGATGACTGAAAGGGCACTGCATTGTGGAATCTTCCATGAGAAGCATTTTACGCAAATGATACAGTTGGTGACGAGGCTGCTCAAAACACATAAATTAGTAAAATCGGAAGCATGATCGAAAGTTTTCGAAAATTTCATCAACCTACCTCCAAATCCCGTAACTGGAATATCCTTCCGATCCTTCCACTTGATAGCGTCAGAAGAGAAACAAGCGCGCCGGCTTATGAAAATGTGGGAAACTGCTGCTGCTCATGCATGTTAGCTGCTGGTTTACTTTCTTTTTCACATGTCTAATTTGGCGGGAAACGGTGGTCCAGTACTGTCAACAACTTTGCAATGAAGAGGTTTTTGACAGTTTTTCGACTTTTATTCTAAAAAATACACTTTTAAAATTACAAGCCGAAAGTGAAAGCAACACTTTTAAACCAAAAAAATATGTTTTATTTTGAAAATTTTCATAGTTAAAACGACGAAATTTGGCAAACTTTTAATTTGATCATGCAATATTTTTATAGCAACAATTTTTGTTCTTTGTGTGCACTTAAACAGAGAACCTGAGTTCGGTAAAAAAAATACCGTCTTCGATCGGTAATGCTGAAAATTACAGATGTTTCGGTATTTTCTCACTTGATTGCTGAAAACTGTAAATGAAATGACCGAATTTCGGTAATTTTATTTTAATTTACCGAAAACGGTAAACATTTTTACCGGCAGGTCTGTAAATCAGCTTCATCACTAACTTCGGTGAAATATTTTACTGAGTCCGGTAACGGTCTAGGTAAACGTCAAATCCACCATATTGTTATTTTCGATCGACATTAAAAGCGTTCGTGCTTGTGAAAAATAAAAAAGGTGAAATTATGGAGGCTATTATGCAATGCCAAGAGGAGCGAATCGTAGATATTTTCCGTAAAAAATTAATTCTCGTTATCTAAATAAATACCGATTACAGATGGCTACCAAGCCTTTGGGGATTTTCCTTTTTAGAGAGTTTTATAGATTTTTCTCCTTTAGCTTACTTAAATCTTTGGTTTTTATTAGTTAGGTAGGTTCCGATTCAACACATTGTAGTTTCATTTTATACCTATGATCTTGACTTTTTTTTAACTTGGGGATGAGTACTTAAGGGGGTTAGATTTTGATAAATTCTTTAGTGGGAATGACACTGATGAAGACTGCACATTGTAGTCGAAATACGTATCTGTCATGGATACCAAAATTAATTAAGTGGAATTAAATGGAAGATAACCTTTTTTGCTGTTTTATTTAGCATTCCGCTAACAACCCAATTTCATTACTTCAATAAAAATTATTTTCTTTGAATTCAATAAAATGAATGATTGTGTCAACAATATTTATTGTTAGCCGGGAGACAACGATTTTTTTTATTGAATTCAATACAGAATATTGTTGAAATTAAAATATATTTCTCTGCGTGTACAATTAATTGGAATCGTCTTGGTGTCAGCAACGCATTTAAATCTGGTGCATTGAAACCAAAGACAGCATGGCGATTCAAATTAATTGTGTGCTTTTATTTACTTTATTGCAATCAAAATTTAAAATAATTTCAAAATATGTTTGTTTCAAAAACAAAGTACGTTTAAAATAAACTCGACTATGTAGTAAACAAACATAAAAAGCATGTTTAAAACAAACATATCTATGTTCGTTAACAAAGCTGTCAAAACAATCAAAAATGTTTCATTTATTCTCAAGACGAATATTTTTATATTTATTTTAAACATTGATGTCACATCGTGTCACATGACTTCAAACATAGAATACGTTTGAAATCAACCGAGTTTATTTTCGTGGCCAGAACAAACTAAGTTTACGTTTAAATTTACCTCAAATATTTTTGTTTCGATGATAGTTTTCTCTGCGTGATCTTCAGCTCTTGATCCGTCTGAAAAATGTCCGTAGGAGGCAATATCAAAGAAAACGCGATCCTGCCATGAAAGTTATCTGGAGGGATTTACAAAAACAAATCAAAAAGCGATTCTCTGTCCTAAGGAAACGAAACTTTTGAAAATAATGTTTCGAAATTGGACCCGAGCTCCAAACACTTTTGGAAGCTCACAAACATTTTGAAAAAAATCTCATAAATTCCAGCGCATAAAGTAAATTTTTTATCACATATTCCAAAAATGCTCACAAACAGAAACTACACATTTAGAAATTATCACCGGCTTCGGTAATTTTTACCGAAATCTGAACAGCTCGGTAAAATTTATGCAATTCAATTCAATTGCTTTTCAGCTACTTTGAAACTAAATCTCCACTAAAATGACAAGATTTGATAATTTAAACAAGGTTGAACGTTTTGAAACTATTTTCTAATTCAATAGGCTTTAAAATTAAGGTCAAAGTTTTACCGAACGTTCAGTTGTTTTGATTTAGGTAAAATTTACCAAACACGAAAAAAAAAATCTTAGTGTGTAAGCCATTCGAGAACTCCCTTAAATTCAGTTTGGGTCTAATTAGTCCTATTGAGAATCATGTTGCTCGGGATTATCT